ATCCTATTTATAAGAGGCTGAGGCCTCGCAGTACGCGGGGCGTACTGCTCCGAGTTCGTAAGCGCATGCATCATCCGAAGTCCTCGAGTGCGAGTGTCAACATCCTTCGCCGTACGCGTGGCGTACTCCGGATGAGTCCGGTGACTCGCCTGCGGATAATACCGAGGTTTAATAATTAAATTTAATTATTAATTATTTAAGAAACTTCGAAAATTCATATCTTCCTCATACGAACTCCGTTTTCGACGTTCTTTATATCCACGCGAAGATGAGACTACGCTCTACAACTTTTGTTTAGACTCCGTCGACTAATTTTGAATTTATTTTTATTATTTATTTTTAATAGGTCGGGACAGAAAATTTCGTTATAAATTCATAACTTCTTCGTTTGACGTCCGTTCTCGCCTAACTTTTTATCGTTTTGATACTAACAACGAGATCTTCGAATCTCATTTAGATCACTAAGGCTAAATATCGCTCTAATGTAAATTGCACTTTTTACGTCATTCAGTGTTGCCGGTTCTGTCGCGAAACTTCGACAGGTCATAACTTCTTCGTTATAACTCGGATTTCGGCATTCTTTATATCTTCGGAAACCTTGTTTCAACTACTACAACATTATCTAAAGATATCAAGTTTATTTTATACTTAAATTTTGACGCTTATTTTTATTCTTAATTAATCAAATCACATAATTAAACAATTAAGCACAAAACACATAACCCTCAAATAATACACTTCTATTATTTCAAAACGGCTTACAAAGGTTAACCTAGACTATTACATTGCTAAAAATGGCAAGTCCAGAAACACAGGCGTTACAATCCCGGGGCTACGAAAATGTATTTGGACCTAAGGAAGGAGTATTGGTGGCCCTGTATGAAAAGGGATGTTGCATGGTTTGTTGAGAGATGCTTGACTTATCGGCAGGTCAAGGCCGAGCACCAGCGACCACACAATAAATTGCAGCCGCTAGATATTTCCGAATGGAAGTGGGAACATATTACCATGGATTTTATCACCAAATTGCCGCGGACTGCGAGGGGAGTTGATGCGATTTGGGTGAAGATAGATAGATTGACGAAGAGCACTCATTTTCTGGCCATCAGCAAGAGCTCTTCTACGGAGAAGTTAGCGGAATTATACGTGAGGGAGGTGGTATCGCGTCATGGGGTGCCGATTTCGATTTTTCTGATCGTGATGTGCGTTTCACTTCCAGGTTCTGGAAGAAGTTCGATGAGGAATTGGGTACTAGACTGCATTTTAGTACCGCATATCATCCCCAAACAAACGGTCAGAGTGAGTGGACGATTCAGACGCTTGAGGATATGCTCCGAGCATGCGTTTTGGATTTCGGAGGGAGCTGGGACACCTATCTACCTTTAGCAGAGTTTTCGTATAACAACAGCCATCATTCGAGCATTGGTATGCCACCCTTTGAGCTGTTGTATGGGCGGAGGTGTTGCACCCCCATCTACTGGGGTGAGGTGGGGCAGCGGGTGATGGGTAGCACGGAGATCGTACTCCAGACGACCGAGCAGATTCAACAGGTCAGGCAGAGGTTGTTGGCTGCTTAGAGCCGACAGAAGAGTTATGCAGACAGACGTCGGTTCGAGCTTGAGTTTCAGGTCGGCGATCTTGTACTCCTGAAGGTCTCTCCTTGGAAAGGAGTGACTCGATTCAGGAAGAGGGGCAAGTTAGGGCCCCGATACATTGGTCCTTTCCGTGTGATCGCGAGGGTAGGCCGGGTAGCCTACCGTTTGGATTTACCAGCAGAGTTGGGGCAGATTCACGACACTTTTCATGTGTCACAGCTGAGGAAATGTATAGCCGATGAATCGGCAGTGGTTCCATTAGAGGATATTCAGGTAGATGCGAGCCTGAATTATGCCGAGAGACTAATGGCCATCAGAGATCGGAAGATCAAGGTTTTGAGGAACAAGGAGGTACCCCTAGTGTTGGTTCAGTGGCAGCATCGGAAGGGTTCAGAGATGGCCTGGGAGCCGGATCGTGAGATGCGTGAGCAACATCCGGAGCTATTTGCAGAGCGAGACTTCGAGGGCGAAGTCTAGTTCTAGTGGGGGAGAATGGTAATAGCCCGGATTTCCAGGTATCTTTTATTCGCATATTTTTGGTGTTTTGTGAGGGGACTCGGCGAGTTGGAGCTCGAACTCGCCGAGTAGGGTCGCGGTTTTGGACGCGGGTTCGCGCCTGGACTCGGCGAGTCCGCGCTGTTTGATGAAACCCTAATTTTCCAGTCCTAAGCTCTATTTAAAGGACCTTATGGCCCTTCATTGCGGCCACCTTGATCCTTGAGAGCACCAAAGCAGCTAAGGGTTCCTGTGAGTGAGATAAGAGGCTATTGTTCACCAAATTTGTGTGTCTTTGCAAGAAAGGAAGGGGGAAAGTACAGCTAGAAGAGTTGGGAGCTTGGATCTACTTCCATTTCGCCAAGGGAAGTTTCTTGAGGTATCTTTCAGAGCTTATTTCCGTGTTTATGTTGATATGGTCAAATCTAGGATTTCTTCTTGCCTTATTTGCTTTGTAATTGAAGTGTGAGAGGTCCCATGGAGATATGGTACCTAGATCTGGACCTTAGCAAGTCTAGAAAGTCCCAAATGCTATGCTTTATGTCCTTCCTTTTGGGTTGGAGGCTAGGGTTGCCATATTAGTGGTCATTTCTCCAAAAAGAACCTTGTAAGTGTTGCATGGTGGCCAAGACTGTGACTTTACGTGATAAATGAGCTTAGGAGGGCCAGATCTATGAGTTTATGGAGCGGATCTGACCTTAGAAGCAAGTTTGAGTCGATGCATGGCATGGACTCGCCGAGTCTGAAGAACAGACTCGGCGAGTAGCATGAAGATTGTCCTTAACCACTTAATGAGTGGTCCTAACGAGTTATGGTTGACTCAGTGAGTCACGGGGAGTTTCAGAGGGATTGACAGGTAGACTGAGTCGAGCTGGAACTCGCTGAGTTGTCCTTGCGACTTGGCGAGTTGAGTCGCGGTGGCCCTGCGATTTATGTCAGGGGAGTACTCAACGTGTCAAAGGGAAATCCTTGCGAGTTGGTGAAAATGCTTAGACTCGCCGAGTCGCTCTAGTGCACTCGCCGAGTCCGGTCAAATTGACCATTGATTGTTGACCAGAGTTGACCAGTGTTGACTTGATAGGGATAGTCAACCTTAGTGGTAAAAGTATTAATTAGAGATATATGATGTTATAGGAGGATTATGGCTCGGGGGTTCGAGCACGAGTGATTTCCAGGGTTCGCGAGTTATCGAGATATACGAGGTGAGTCTTCTCACTATATTGTACCCTGAAGGGTTTGACTGTGTGACCGGAAGGTCGAATATGATATGAGATATATGCATTATGTGTGATAAGTTAATCGTTATATGTGCCATGTATGATATGCTTGATATGGGCCGGAAGGCATTACGTTATGGGCCGGAAGGCGAATATGTTATGGGCCCGAAGGCATTGTAATATGGACCGTAAGGTTGATGTGGGTAGGACCGGAAGGTTTACCCAGTCGGGACAGGGTCTGGAAAGGCGTATGTGCGTAGGTTGTATTTTGGGGAACTCACTAAGCATTTATGCTTACAGTTGTTCTGTTATGTGTTTCAGGTACTAGCGAGGACCGTGGGAAGGCGTCGGCGTGACCGTACACACACTCGGGGAAAGCTATTTTTGTGATCTTTGTTATGTAATTGGTCGTGACAATATTGTTTACATTGGAATCTAAATTATTACTCGATGTTTTGATGTTTGTAAAAATGAAAAAAATGGTTTTAAAATTTACTTCGTTACACAATCCATCTTGAATGTCTGTTTGCTAGTTTCTTGAGAATACATGTAGTTTGAGAGTCAACACAAGCATGTTGGTGATTGTTATTGGTTTTCTGCTAACAGCAGTAATACTTTTAATAAGTCTAAAAAGTATTTTGTTTATATGTATAACAATAGTTAAAACATTGTTTACAATTAGTCTTTAAAAGCCCAAAATATATTTTTGTATAAGTAAATCTATACTTTAAACCATATTGGTAATAAATTCTTGAAAGCAAAAATGTATCTTTGTATAAGTAAATTCATACTTTAAACTATGTTTGTAATAAACCATTGAATATCCTTGAAAATCAATTTTTTGTATTACATAAGTAATTCCATACTTAAAATAGTTTTGAAAGCAACCAAGCCCATGGTTGTAGTGTGAGATATATATATATATATATATATATATATATATATATATATATATATATATATATATATATATATATATATATATATATTCTAGTTAATATTTTTAGTGAGTCCTATAACCGAGCTATGTGATTGAACCCGCTTCGATTGATCGGTTGAGGGTTGTAGCTAGCAACCGTAGGTGGGATGTCAACATTGTATAAATCTATACATATGTATCTCGCTCCAAATATTAACGGTTATAGTAATGCGACTATGATAAGTGTTTAAACTTAGCCAATGAATAACGTCTCACCAAAAAGCCCTTAACTAAAAATGTTTGTAAATAACTCTCAGCCCTAACTTAATTGGGATTAAATCATTAGGCATAATGAATATTGTTTGTATAAGATTTTTAAAAGCTGAGTATGTTTTACATGTATGTAAAAGTGTAATATGCTCGCTTTTATAAAAATGAATGTGTCAAATTAATGAATATAGGTACATGTATAAATGTTGTGTACTTAAACATATAAATAAACATGTATAGTAACACCTTGAATTCTCGAATTTCTACGTAGTTTCATAACTTGCTTCTTATAATATGAAATGTCACATAAAAATCATATAATTTTGTATTTTGTAGTATTTGTTGTATGAAATTGTTATGTCACCACAAAATAACTCTAATACCGAAAAATTTATACCGATTTATTAGTAACAAAATAGTAAATTTTTAAATAATAATATTTTTATAGTCTAGATTTATTCGCATAAAAAGAAAATTGATTTGTATAAACATAATATTTTGCACATGTATCTGAGCAAGGCACCGAGGCAACGAGGAATCGGAAGCAAATCAGTTGGTGAAGGTTCGATCCTCTCTTGATCGGTGAAGGGTGTACGAAATCAGGTGAGGGGTTCGATTGGGGAGTCCGAGATTGTCGATGGGTGGTTGAGGAATCGCGAGAGGAGGAGATATCGACCCCCGCTGCTCCTGTTTGCTTCACCGCCAGCGGGAATGAAGAGAGGCGAACGGTGGGAAGTGACAAGGGGTGTTCGATGGACGAAAATCGCGAGGAGGGAGGTATCTTCGATTGGGGGCTGTTCGATCCTCATCTGATCGATTGTCAAGGAACGGAAGCAGAAGAGGTGGAGGGTTGGATCCTCGTTTGACCAAGAACAGAAAACAAAAATAGAAACACGAGGTGCTTGACTGGTTCGAGAAAAAGAAACATGAAGGTGATTTGGTTCGACGGTGGTTGATCAGTCATACAAGGTAGGGGGCGGTTTATTTCCATCGAACCTTCTTAGGTTTCTTCCTCATCTCTGGCAGCAAGATCACCAATGGATAACAGTGGCAATTCCGATCCATAAAAGGTAAAATGGTTGATTTTTGGGATTGTTTGTTGTTTGATAGGGATAGATTTAGGTGAGTGTTTGGTTGGATCATTTTACAGGGAAGGAAAAGAAATACAAATGTGAGGTTATTTATTCTTTTTGTTTGCAGGTATACCCGAGAACAAGAATAGTTCTTGTGTTGTTGACAGAAATAGGTATAGGGAAAAGGATGAATGGTGGTAGGGTGGTGACAGTGCAAGGTTATGATGGGGTTGTAGCAACCACCGATTGCTGCTGTGAATTTGATGGGAAGTAAGAATCGATTTGTTCTTGCTGGAAATGAAGATGCAAGCAGATACAAAGGATCAACCAATTTTTACTGTAAGTGTTTAATATTTGTTTGATTGTTAATGAATCAGTACTTGATTAGTAGAAGCAATACCATTGCTGCTGTGAATTTGATGGGAAGTAAGAATCGATTTGTTCTTGCTGGAAATGAAGATGCAAGCAGATACAAAGGATCAACCAATTTTTACTGTAAGTGTTTAATATTTGTTTGATTGTTAATGAATCAGTACTTGATTAGTAGAAGCAATACCATGTGTTTTCAGTTACCTGTCTGTGATCTGTGTGTGAGCTGTACTAGAGGACGTGGGAAGGAAGTAAAATGGAGTGCAAGTTTTTTTTTTTTTTTGAGTTTTTCTTTGTATAAAATGGAACTTGGAGAAGCGATTACTTGGCTGGCTTTATTTATTTATTTATTTGGTAGATTAAATAGATGTATTTCTCTATGTATTGTTGAGAAATTTTATTGGTTATATATATATATATATATATATATATATATATATATATATATATATATATATATATATATATACTACTTTACAACCCGTACGAACCACGGTTACAAAATTATTAAATTTATAAAAAATTCAAAATTATTAATCATTTACTTTATACAAAATTTTAAATAAATTATTAATTAAAAGATATTTTTATTAATTATGTAAAATTATAATCATTAATTCAAATAAATATATAGAGTTAATTTTATTGGATTAGATGTCTAACTCCATAACTATTATTGGTATGAACTTGAACCGAGTGTACTATGGTCCATTTAGATTGCATATCATGAGGACAATTTGTTATGATGAACTTTTGAGAAAAGGTTATTTATAGTTTATTAATATATTATAAGTTATAATATATTAATATGAAATCATCTGTTTTAATTAGTATCGATCAACAATTAATTTAATGATCAAAAGAGACTAATTAAATCTATGGGGACTAATTATGATAATTATTTATATTTATATGTGTTGGGCTTATGATCCATGTTGGACCAAGTTTATGTATAGATTCATAAAAAGTTGGGTCACATGAACCATGGATCATAAAACTCATGGGTATGGATTATGGGTGATACCCATGACCCTTGGAATCTAACATATAAATAGGTTACTCCATAGCCAAAATAACCACTTCTTTTCTTAGAGAAATATGGAGGTGTTTTGGTGCATGCAATTCTCTCTCAAGAGCCACCTTTGTCCTAGGTGTGTTGTGATTCCATTTGAGGCATTTCATACTATTAGTGCTAAGCTCTTAAGGTCAAATACATCAAGACTTCAAGTCACATAAAATGTATGTTTCCCTAACTAGTATATTATATGGTTTATGTCAAATGCATGCTAGTTATAGGTTTAATGCCTTGGAAACCATTTGCATGTATAATTAGTGAAAACGTAGATCCAAGGTATTTAGGGTTGTATGTGCACCATAGGATGTTGTATTATACCAAAACCCAACAGTGGTATCAGATCCATAGGTTGTTTTCTACTATAATTGATGCAAATGTACTTTTTTTCAAGTTGATGAAAAAAAAAAAGAAAAAAAAAAACTTGAAGTTTGTCAAATTTTATGATAATTACTTGATTTTATGAAAAACTAATTATTTGTAAAATTTGAGTCACTTTACTACAAGAGTTGAATTAGGTCAATTTATTAAAAGATAGAATGATATGATTATTTTATTTGTTTTAAAATTTTGATCTAAGTGGTTTTAAGGAGTTACAAATTTTGTCATTAAAATTTTAAACTCAAAAGTATTTTTAAAGTTATGATCTTAAGAGTTTTGAAACTTCCATAAGTTATGGATGTGAAATGTCTCATTTATTAACTCTTTAGGTTATGAAGTCCAATAGTTTTCAAAGGATAATTGTCAAAGTTTCAAGATTTGTATTAGTTTGTATGATTATCTAATTTCTTGAAAATTGTTGATGTGAATTATCTTTACTTATGAGTTTAATCTAGATCATAGAAATTTTTTTGATTATTGTGTTAATTGGAATATATTTGATCTTAATGGTTTTTATGAACTCCATAACTTGTCCTAAAGTTATGGAAACTGAAGAGTTTTTCCCTTCTTTTTAGGGAGAATTTCATAGATGTCCTTCTTAAACATCAAAATATCATATTTACCCAACTTAATTTCTAAATATCATATTTACCCTCCATAAAATTTCTAAATATCATATGTACCCTTCATAAAATTTCTAAATATCATATATGTCCTTTTTAAACATCAAAATATCATATATGTCCTTCTTAAATATCAAAATATCATATATGTACTTTTTAAACATCAAAATATTAATGGTAATATTTAAAATATCCTTTATCTAGAACATAATAATAATCAACAACAACAAAAACAAAACAATCAAAATATACATTTCATAGAAAGGGTTGAAGATGAATCTTTTTGTCTATCAAGATGCTGACATTCCAACAATTTAGAAGTTCATATTCCATTATAATAGACGTAAGAATAATATGGTTAAATTTCTTAATTATTGTAATAATTCTAAGGTATAAAAAATGATTATAAAATATTAAAAACATTATAAAAAAGGATTTGGGCAAATATGATATTTTTAAGGTTTATGAAGAGTAAATATGAAATTGAAAAATTAAGCTGGGCAAATATGATATTTTGAAGTTTAAGAGGGGCATATATGAAATTCTCCCTTCTTTTTAAGTGTCATTAAGTCTCATAGGTTATGAAAATAGAAGAGTCTCTATTTTTAATGTCATCATTAAATGATTTAATGTCTTCCATAACTTGTCCTCATGTATGAAACTTGATTTTTTTTTCCATTAAATCTTAATTAAACTCATAAGTTATAAAAAAGCCAAGAGTTTTGAAACTGTTTCAAAACTTGTCCTCAAGTTTTGGAATTTGTAAACTTACCCCCCATGTATACTTTAATTCCAAACTAGACCTTAAAATTTTAAAAGTTAAAATTCAACCCTTATACTTTATAATATTATAAGTTAATAATATTTATATATATGTATAATAGTAAAGTCAGTCTTACCGTTAGTAGAACTCATTCACGAAGCCGGTCTATAAGGGGGATATAAGGTTACTGCGTATAAAATGATAGTTTAATGGGTGTCCACTCTCACCCACCGTTTCGTTGACCGATGGAGGGTCGTTAGCCGAACGGGTAGGATAAGGACTATAATTCTCCTTTCATTAAAAGTATTAACGATAAATACTAAGTAACTAAACCTTTTATAAATACCCAATCTTAGTTACTTAGGAAAATGTGAATAAGGTGCTAATCCATGAAATTACACTTTGCACTTTGTTTAAGTCGGTTAGTGGAGCGTGTGTGGTTAACCGGCACACTAACTCGTATTTAACAAGGTAGGCAAAGGGTAACTTAATGTTTATCATAGTATCGATGGAGCGTGTGTGGTTAACCGGTACATCGAGGGGTAAACACTTAAGGGTGCCAAGTAATTTGCATGGTTACTTCACACCTTGTTTTGTGATCCTCGACATCCCAGTCACAAAACCTGAAGGGCACACTCGAGATTGAAACATGCCATTGAAAAGTTCAGTGAATCTCAAAAGATCTAGGAGTTTCAAATCCAATAAATTATTTCGTTTTTCATTGTGGAAATTGTTGAATCGTCATTCACCTACCTTCAAATATTCTATAGCTTGGATTACGGCATCCCTCTTTCAAGTTATAAAATAGTTTGTTGGATCCTAGCCTTAATATTTCATATTGGGTATTATTTTAAGGACTTTAAATCAACTATCTTGAATATCTCCCAAAAGATGTCAAGTTCAGACATCTATGATCTTCCCAAATATCTTGGAACTTTACTTCCTCCACTTCCTCCAATTATTCTCCCTAACCCACAAGTTCAAGCTCACTCAAGCCTTATTGGCAAGGCAAGGTCTAGGTGTGATCACATCTTGGAGATGAAGTCATATACTGACAAGCCGGGAGAGTTGGATGTCAAAGTCTTAAGAAAGTTAGTGGTTCAATCACTTTCTAAGTCTGTGAGTTCCTTGGGACTCCTATTAAACAGATTATGACAAGACCCTTAATGATCTTATCTATTTGCTTGGTGCTGCTAAATCAGAAATGATTTAGTGTACTAGTAAAACAAATTTGATTAGGAGATCAACTTCCCAAAACTTTATGTATAGGGACAATAGTCACACAGGAAATCCAGAAAAACATTCTCTTTCCAATGGAAAGGGATCGGCCATAGTCAACTCGGTTGACCAAATGGTAAAGAGAAAGGCTAAGTCTGAGATAGTCCCATGTACTATTACCTAAGGGTCCATATGGTCCTATTGCCAAAAGGAAAGGGCATTGGTTACGAAGCTGTCAATTTTACCTGAAAGATCATAAGGCTAGTAAAGTCAATAAGTTTGACTCTATTTCAGGTAAGGTCTACTATCTAACTCGGTTAAGTTTCTGTTCTGAGATTCTTATTACAAGATGTGATTGGGTCACATGTTGATGTTTAAGAATCAAAGGAAAAATTAAGGAAACTTAAAGAAAGAGTATGTTGAATCTGATCGCGAAGATGGATTTCTATCGCTTGATTGAAGATTGGATTCTTGAGCTACTCTTAGAGGTTATGATAGATTGCTTGGAAACAAGTAATAACATAGTTTTCATTTCAAGTTACATTGTAAGGAAAAAGTTTTTTCCGCATTTTAAAATAAATAAAAGTTTGTTTTACTTTATTTTTATCTCCTTACAATGGCATTCATGAAAACTTGGTGTTTATATGTTTATAGCAATATTGGAAATATGAATTTGATTCGTTCATTTGTGGTAGTGTCTAAATTTAGCAAATAAGGAAAGAT